AGAACAAGGGTACCGTTTGGTGAGCAATTGCTTTCAATAATTCATCCTCAGACCAGTATAATTATATATAGGGCTAAAATGGAAACGGGTGAATTGACCAGTTAGTACAAGTAACAGACGAAAAATCGAAACGAGTTAATTACAGGTTACGGCGTTTGACCCCGTTTTCTCGGGCCAGGGAAGCTGTAGAGCCTGGACTAGCTTCTTTTGCGAGCATAAGGACGGTTGAAATATTCGAATGCAAATTGCTTCGGTCGTCGTAAGCGTACGAAGGTCTTGACCTTTCGCTCGGTGCGGCGGAACCTTGTATACAACTCTAAAGACACGCTTTAGACCCACCTGATGCCCACTGCCCACAATATGAGCCAGAATGGAACTACTAATGGTCTCGGTGCCACCTTGATGCAACCAACGTGGGCAATGTTCATTCACGGGTTTGGCCAAGTACCGCGCCATTCGACAGCTATACGTTGCGCCACAGGCGTCCTCGAACTGATAAATAACAATTGAGGTGATCAGCAGGGGCAGCTTATCCTGGTTTCGTGAATCGACCAGTGGTTCCGTCAAAAACAAGCACTTTAGCGTAGCTGCTGCGAAGGTCGACTTAACTGCGTCCGAAAGACTTCGGGTTAAATGCTCAGTAACTGCGTCCCCTTTGAAAGGTAGTCGTATGAATAGCTCTTTCTTTACCGCTGTTTACCCTGGCACCTGTTTAGGTTTTTCCCCCAAATTTCTTAAAATAAATCTGTCGCGGTATCCATTTTCGCGCAACACATTCGGTATGAACGTCAGTTCCACATTTTGGGTGTCTTCCGAGCAGATTCGACGTGCTCTCCTGGTAAGACAGTGAATCAAGTTGCGCTTATATCTCAGAGGGACGAAGCTATGGAAATTCATATACTGGCCAATTCACACCGGCTTTCTGTAGATCTGACACTGGATTGAGCCGTCTGCACACACACACACACTATACAACTTAGCTAGAGGTGGAAAACACCTCAGTTACTGTGCCGCAAAATATAAAGAAAAAAGGGAATAAAATGCAACAAGTGCAAGCCAGCTGAGCTTCCGGTAACGGATGGGCATCGTTTCGGTAAGCTACCTGCTAACTACTATGCAGCAGAAAAACATTTACTCTGCAAAATTAAAAAATGCTAAATACTGAGATCGTGGTTGGAGGGGGAGGCTAAGGGGGATGGGGTGGGACAAAGAAACTCACAGCACGAACGCCCCAGAGATCAGCTCCTAGTCACATCAACAGGTGTATCAAGCCAAACGTGTTCATCGTCTTTTGGACCCCAACCACGAAGCCGAGACGCTCCAACGGAGGCCAGCTTTGAAGTGAGGGCCTTCATTCCTCTCGATCAATTCATCGCTTGACCACCTCTCCTCTTCTTCCATTCACACCCCCGGTGCGCAAACAACACACGTCGCGGGAGTCGATGGGTTGGCATGCGTAACACGTGACCGAGCCATCGGAGCCTGGTGCGTGAAATAACGGTGCTGAGCAATTCATTTCCTGTTCCGTAAACAAGGTGTTGAACACGCTCGTTGCTCACGCGGTGTTCCCACCAGATGTGAGCTGAATTGCGAAGGCACCGGATTGAGCCGTCTGCTCTAGTTAACAGAACATCAAGATACGACAGCTGTTTTTCGGTTTCTTTTTCTTAAGTAACATGCAGTGCTGCATAGACTCGGTTAAAACGGTTAAGAATTTCATCTGGGTTAACCTGCTCATCCATCACAACGAACATATCGCTACTACTACGCAGTGCTACTAGTTCAAATATTATAGTACTTGCAGGGAATATGAATGCACAAGTAGGGCGTCTGAGCTCTTCAGAAGCTCAGCTGGGTGGTAATTATGGGCTTAACTCCGAACGGACTGACAGCAGTGAGCGTCTACTGCAACTGTTTGCGGAGCACCAGTTGTTTCTTAGTAGCACTGCTTTTAAACACAGTGGGCGCCGAAGTGCCACTTGGCGTCCTACTGTAGCTGGCCAGCGGTGGACCCAAATTGAGCACCTAGCCATAAGTTACAGGTGGCGTGGTCCCATCCTGGATTGCCCCTCGTACTGGAGTACCTGCGTCGACTCTGATCATTCCTTGGTACGCTGTTGTTTCTCCATGAACTTTACCGGGAGGGAGACTAAACGTCTCCTCCAATTGGCAACTGAGAAATTGCCTCAGCCCTCGGTCAGGCAAGCCTATCAAGACGCACTGCGTACCGAAGTTTCGCTGTCTTGTCTTAATGACACAGTTTTAGTGGAATAGGATATCGACCGCCATGCACGACGTAGGTGCATCTGCTTGTGGCACTATCCATCGTCACGGCACCAGTCGCTGGATATCCGAGAGGTCGGTGAACCCGTTGGAATCCAAAAGAACACTTCCGGCTGGCTCTGAGCTTAATGTGACCACACGGGCTACCAGGCATGAACTAAAGCAGAGGCTACGTGCTGAAAAGGAAGCCTGGTGGGCCAGTCGGGCTCACGAAATAGATGAGGCAGGAGCTGTAGGCAATTACCGCAAGCTCTTCTAGCTAATCCGCACTACTGGTCCCAGGAAACCAGGCGTCAGTTAGACGGAGACAGCGCAGGTGCACTGATACACAAAGAGGAGCGCTGTATGGCTCGTTGGACGGAACACTTTCAAGATCAGTTCAGCTGGCCCCCTGCTCCCGGACCTCTTCCTACTCAGGTGATGCAGCACGAGATATGGACGGTTAGTTTAGAGCCTCCGTCCGAGGCGGAGATCCGAAACGCGATCACAGCCCTCAATCGTTTTCGTGCCGCTGGCCTGGATTCCCTCCCACCTGCACTATTTAAGGATGGAGGTGAGGTCCTCTGCAATGCACTGACCTCCCTATTCGAACGTATTTGGAATGAAGATAGTGTCCCGACTGATTGGAATGAATCGATTATAGTGGCAATATATAAGAAGGGTAGTCGCACAGACTGTTCTAACCACAGGGGTATTAGCCTAACGCCAGTTGTGACAAAATTATTGGCCTCCATTATCGTTCGTCGCCTCACTGTGGAAGGGGAATCTCGGATCAGGGAAGAGCAGGCCGGTTTCCGTCCAGGGCGTGGCTGTATAGACCATATATTCACTTTGCGGTAGGTGCTAGAGCAGCGCCACGCATACCGCAGACCGACAATAGCTGTGTTCCTTGATTTCAGAAGTGCGTTCGATTCAGTCGATCGATCGACTCTGTTCGAAATACTTTGCGCGGAAAGGTGTTCCCACGAAATATGTGAACATCCTACGTGCTCTATACTCGAACACTACAGGGCGCGTTAGGGTCTACGGTGCCCTATCGGATAGCTTTCCGACCACAAATGGCGTTCATCAGGGTTGTCCGATTTCCCCATTTTTGTTCAATTTCGTCATGGATTGTATCATGGAGTGTCCCCTTGGGGAATCTCACGATGTAGGCGTTGAAGTGCTGCCTGGTGAAAGGTCACTACACCTAGATTATGCGGACGATATCGTCTTGCTTTTCGACGATGTTGCGGTGGCACAATCAACCATGTATACCTGTCTAGAGTGGTCCCATTATCTGGTATGTGCTTTTCACCTTCAAAGTGCAAAGTGTTGCTTCAGGACCACCAGTCACTTGATGACCCCTTGATCCTTACTATCGTGGAACTCGAGGTGGTTGATCAATTCGCTTATTTTGGCAGCTGCATCAGCACCGATTGGCGCATAGAAACTGACGTCAGCTCGCGCATTGCAAAGGCCAGAGCTGCCTTCTTGAACTTGCGGCATCTTTGGCGACAGAAGGGAGTTTCTCTTCGTCTGAAAGGCCGTATATATAAGGCCACAGTGAGGGCCGTACTGCTCTATGGTAGTGAGACTTTGCCCCTTCGGGCTGAAGATCTGAGGCGCCTTCAAGTCTTTGATCATCGTTGTCTGCGAAGCATTGCTGGTGTCGGATGGCACCAGAGTGTCCGCAACGATGATGTGCGTAGGCGAGTACTAGGTAGTGATAATCATGCTAGCTCCATAGAACAACAATAGCACTGAATAAGTTGCGTTGGCTCGGGCACGTGCTACGTATGCCTGGTCACCGCTTACCTAGACGGGCGTTGTTTAGTCTGTCAGGTGTAGGGTGGTGCAAGACTCGAGGTGGACAGAAGTTGACTTGGCAGAGGGAAATGAAGTCACTGACGGCCAAACTGGGTGCCATTGGTCCGTCTCGTCTTCCGGGCTGGAGTCCACGTGACTCGCCTTGAGCTTGGCTCGAGACTTTACAGTACATGGCTCGCAACTGACACCAGTGGCGCGTCTGCTACCGTCTCCTAATCGGATTGCCTGTTTAAAGTGTGTTTGGTGCTGAGTTATCTTCTGGGTAATGGCTGCTTGTGACGCGTGGCAGTGAAAGCCGCAAGGAAGCTGTCTCGCCGATGCCGCCTTATCTTTGCACGATAGCCAGCTGTTTGTGACGGTATGTTGTCTGCACAACGTGTAGGCGCCTTGACCCTAAATATTTGCTTAGAGCATTAAGGTTTTCAGGTAAGTCCCCCTTTTCTCCCTCTTCTTATTCTTTATTCCATAGGTCCTCGTGGATGTATGGCAGCGAAGCATCAATTCAAATGGCTGATACGCTGCCGTTGTTGTTGATTTTCCACCTACATCTCTGTGCTTGCCGTCCACTAAATTTGACGGGGAATAGCCGCTGATAAGTCGGGCACTTTTGAAACTTGATGTTTGACTGCTCAACTAGTTCAGGATGTCATGTCGTCTGTGGTACTGCCGTGGGGGCTTCACTTCTCTTCAGTAGAAGACAATTTAAGTTTATTCTGACTGGTCCTCGTGTGTGAGTTACCTTTCGGTTTTTCTTTGGTGCGACGTTCGGTGACTCCCAGCCTTTGTTGGCGTCATTAGGTGACAGCCGATTGATATCAACGCACCGCTTTTATCAATTCCGTATTCGTTATTCACCTCAAAACTAATCCGCCATCTACTCTATTTTGTCCCTCTATCCTGTCCTGTAGATCCAGCTGAGATCCACATTCACCGTGTTCGATTTGGGGATGGAAGCTCTTCCACACCCAGTGGTCCACCATCTCCGTCGATCACCTCAGTGAATTCACCACTTAGTGTCTTAGAAGTACAGAATTCCGATGCAAAATTGGATAGAAATATCACAAGTCTTTTGGATGACAGCAATGATTATACTCACTTCACTGTACAAATGAGGCAGACGAGTCGGTATTCACATTTCACTGCTAATTCGGCCGATTTTACTGAACGAGTTCTCTCGAGCTCTGTCGCTTCCGATCGGCATAAAAGAGACAAGAACGCGCATTCTGTTAAAGGGTTTTGTACGCGTTACTCGAATTCTGGGCCCAATGTACCACCCACTGAGGATCCTGGAGGAGGCGAAATGTTTTTCCACCTCGGTTCTTTCGATATATTGAGAAAGAATTTGTTGGATCCGCCCGAGGAGTTGAGAATCTTCAAAGCTTATCACAGATATGTAGCTTGTCAGAATGGGCAATCCCTGGATAATGATTGCGAAGTGAGCCATTCTTGTTTGTCCTTTTTATGTTTCCTCCTCATATCTCTCTGAATAAGAGAAGACCTGACATCACAACCTCTGAAAAAACTCACTGACACTGTTTTCACACTGTTCTGTTCTGTCCCGATGGTATTTGTTCTACCTTCTATGCACTGCATTTGTGCAATTCCAAACTCTAAGTTCATGCATCTGGTATCACTGCTGTCAGTACAGCAGCCGTACTTGCACTCTTGAGCACGAATTTCGCAAACGCTTCAACACGTCTTTGTCTGTACAGAATGTGATCAAACTGTTTGATTGTCCTATGACAACAAGCCGAGCGTACGAGCGGTATCCAGGTTTCATATGACCCAGTACATGTTTCGCCACCATACTCGCTACTGTGAATTAGCTGTTTTATAAGGTATGTGACTGGTTGAAGTTCAGCCAACACCAATTCATTTTCGTCAACCATTTTATGTGCCACTACTATCCTTACAAACGTCATGATTTGATCTGATTTCCAGTTTTCCTGATCCGCCTGTGACCAACGTTTTACACAAGTATGAAGTTACCCGATCATGCCGATACATCTGTATCTCGCAGCGTTGAGAACAAAAGTTTATTTAGATTGATGAAAATGGCCACGGCTAAAACAGACAAAACAGAGCCAATGATTCGAGTAACTACTCAGGATGAACATTAGGTCACCACCAGAAACCGGTTGACGATACGTTTCATTCTTTGAACTTTTGACCCCCACTGCCGCTCCCTTCGATTGTAGCTTCGCACCGTCCTTCAAGCAGGCATAGTTTATTGATTACGTGGGTAATTTTTGGGCACTAGTTGCATAAACGAATTGCGACGTGTAATCTCACTGTTGTCCGCAATTCACACCTAAATGCACCTTACTCAATTCGATCATTTGGGCCGTAACTGAAGACTATGAAAATTGGGTGCTGCCCGCGTGAACAAACTGCACTATACTACACGTTTCATTCCTGATGATCTCATCGAATAGGTATGGCAGGCCTCGAACCCGGGATGTTTAGGATGTCCGCCGAGTTCAGTGCCCTTCTACTTTATATTTTCTCGCAGTACTTTTCAGCTTTGGCATTGGCAATGGCCCTCTTCGATTTAAAATGTGTTGGTTTCTCCTGAATCATTAGTACCGCAGCGACAGACTTTTCCCTCCACCATTTCCATGTTATTTACTTTGTGTTTCTCTACGCTTTGTCTTCTGTGGTTGTACACCGGATAACATGGCAGCCTGTAAACAATGAGCAAAAATATGTGCCCAGTACCTCTACGCACCTCTGATTCTCCGTCAGACACTTCTCTTTTTGTCCTAGTTGCACAAGCTCGGGACAAAGTTTCCGTGGGCTCCTATTTACATTTGCCAAGGCTGTCTCCTTGTCCTTCTTCGCTGTCGCCAATCTCACATAACTACTCCAAGTACAGATCTACTTTCTACAGAAATCTCCCAGCAATCTCGTTATTTTCCACCCCGACTCGATTAGGAGTCAGGGATTTCCACTGGTAATCGCATAACCTTGCCTGACCTAATGTATCCGATGTCGCCGGGACGGCTCATCTCCACGTGCTCCAGCTTGCGCCTCCACTCACCACTACTTAGCAATATAACATTAGATGTTTTGTGGCCCACGGTATTGCAGCACACAGATTTGCGCAAAATAAACCCGATTTAGTGCACACAAACTCATGATTGCTTTCACGCTCAACTCCCCGCGATGCACGCCATGAGCGCCTCACTCGCTCACGCTAGCTTACGATAACCTAATGAAACAGGTGATCGTGACCACTCCGTGGCAACGTCATTGGTGCCCATGGAACGCTGTTTTCCAGCTCCTCAGTCGCTGAGTGGCATATTATCCGTGCAAATGATCACCGTTCCCGTTAATTAAACTAGTACATTGAAGCTCGATTGCATCCACACACGCCGAGGCATCGCGTCGAACACGCACTTTAACTCCGCCCAGCGGGAATAACCCGTTGCTCCACAGTACCGACCCTATCACGGAGAACACGTGAGACCAAGGCTTATCTTCTGTGTTCTCTGGATATCAGGTGGTAAACTCAATCTTGAACTGATTCCACTCAGCTCCTCCAGCGAGTAGTCTTTTAAGCGATATGATACCGGAAAGCCAACACCATGTTCACGTGATGTTGCAGCTGCTCCCCTCATCCAACAGAATTTCGACCAACACCGTCTTTTGCGATGTACCACATTTAGGTATGCGCTTCTCACAATCCGTGTCATAGCAACCTAGCTTCATACCGACCAGTGCGGTGTGGTACGTCGCTCTGAGCTTTAGTTTGGGTTTCAGTCCAATAATGTATGTACCTTCTAACCTCCAGTTTTTGGCATCCTCCACGATGGCACAAGTTTGCAAAGGGTAAGAGATGACGTGAGTAAATGAGTATAGAACTGGGATCGGGGTTGGTAGGATTGTTCAAGTGTACTGGTGACTTGGAGAGACGGAGCTGTGGTAGGTGTGATAGAAACACGAGGAGAAGCATCATCATTGGGTTGTTTTTGTATGTCCGCATCACTGTATCCAAGGCCTCTTTCAGTGACGTTCAGCCACCGAGGTCGCATGAGAGTATACTTCGTTGTGCGCTTCGTCTTTGATATTTACGCTACTATCTTGCCACGGCGTCCACACTTGAGCTGATCATCTTGCGCTTTCGGTCACAGACTTCGTTCAAAATTAATCTTGGTAGGATACGGGAGAGGCTCCTTGGGTTACAGTTACTCCCAGACCCTCGACTAGAATAACATCTTGGTCAGACTTCTGCCCACTTGTTACCCTGAATAGGAGTACGTGACTTGGTCCAACAGGAAGGGTCGCTGATCATTCATGACTTCGCCCAGCAGAAGTTCGTCTGTAGTAGGCTATCCATAGATCTATTCACATACTGCACTGTATGTAGCTCATCCCTGTTGATTCATCCTCGTTCTGAATAAAGCATATATATATATATATATATATATATATATATAGGACTTAGAAATCATTTTTTCATTGGCTGACGTGTTGTTTCTTTTATTTTCGGCCTTCGAACCGTCATCAATTGATATACCCTCTTTACATAGGTATACTATTTTGACCACGTTTTTCCTTACCTAGCCTTGATAGTACGATATCTCCCGTTTTCCATAAGGTCTCCGGTCTCCTTAAATTACCTTGTCATTAGCTCCACAGCTCTTTGTTGCATGGGTTAGATACGAGTGGCGAGATTGAGCTGAATTCGCCTCGAATTCGTCTACATTGAGATCGTTTATAGATACTGGCTCAGCTGTTAGAGGGCGTAGGCCTTCAAGTTGCATTCCAAAATCAAGCTTCTTGTGTTTTTTACCGTGAGGGATAAAAGTTCGGGTCTAGTGATAGTACCTCTCGAGTTGGTTTATCTAGTTGCACGGAAGACATGCTGTATGAGCGCAGTGCATTTTCTTTTGGAAATTATACCAATGATGACCATGCTCTCTACTGTTTATGCACACTTCTGCATACACGTCATCACCATGACGGTCTCAGTCCGACGCAGTCTCTAGTAGTAAGGTCTGGTGAAGCGGGATCAGATGCATGTGTTGAGAATAAAGGTTAGTTGCTTTCTTAAAACTAGGGAGTACAGCATTTATATCCCGTTTTTTCAACAAATTTTACTGACTCCCTGTTCCGACGGTGTGAATGTGCCCCTGGATTGCGCCACATCAAGTTAATCTGTTGTATTTCCAAATTAGCGGATTCCACCACCATAGTGCTTGATACTTAGCACCGGTTCAATGACTATCTTCGGCTTACATATGGACTGTGTTCATTTACTGGATCAGTACTACTACGCCTGTAAGACTAGGGTTGATAACCACTTGACCGCCGAACGTGTGAATGGGTGTCTTGAAGGAAGCCTCTTCTGAAATATAACCATACAGCCTAGCACGTGTGTTTTCTTATTTTTAAACCTGTGAACTACAGGCGAATCTCAATGTGGATATTCTATCGTTTCATTAGCACTGTCCTGATGAACCGGCAGCCGAAGAGGTTTCCTTCCTAAGATTGTTAGAAAGCAGTGGGTATTCCGCGCCGTTATTCAACAGTATCCGATGTCCTGTGCCTGCACTTAAGAAACCGTGGTCTTAACCAAAAGGGCATTTTTTCACTCGTCCTTCTTCAACAGAAATATCTGCTTTAAATCACCGAGCAGAAAACGTTCGATCGACTCAAACATAACTTAAAAAATCGCTGGAGCCGGTGTTTTTGCGATAACCTCTGATAAGTGCGCAGCACCAATCCACTCTTACAGTGGGTATTCGATCAAGTTTGCTTTTTCCCATTAGCTTACCTTTCTCTGTAGCGTGGGGTATTTCGGACACGCGCCTAAATCTCCGTCGAAGCGCGCTCCGTGGAACTGTATTATTGTGTTTAGGAAAGTTCAAAGTTTTATTGCTGAGCACCTGGTGATTCATAGTGAACTTCGTACCTAGTACCTGTCCAAATGATCTCCCATCACACGCGTAAATATCACTCAGTGTGACTCGCTAAACCCCTGTTGCTTGGGGGTCGAAATTCCTTATCGTGCTTCGGCTGCTGTTTCCGAGGTTTATACCAAGCTGCATTAACTGTCATTTTCAAGCTAATCCACACTGCCTTATCATCGATCTTGGTATCCAATATTCAAAGGTCTGGTTATTTCATGATAACCCCGGACGATAGCAGTCCATCCAGTTCTAACCAATTCTTAATAGACGATTCTCCTGAATACATGTTAATTAAGGTCGTAAAAATTCACTATTTTAGGTCTTGCGCTGCCCGCTGTGTGTCCGGATTGCGACACGCAATCTCCATTGAGCCTACAGTATGCTTTGAAACAAAACTTAGCAATTTCGATCACTGGGACCGCATCTGAAGTGGAGAGTTTCGGAGCTGCTTTCACTCAACACTGCACTCCACTTCCGACCGGTTTCGTCCTGATTTGGACTCGTCAGTTAGAAATAACTCGTGCTGAGAGGGGAACACAACACAGTTGATTGACGGCTTTCGTCCTGGTCACTAGACCGGTGCTCTACGGCAGCGATCGACACAACGGTTAGAAGTGCATTATTCGCTCTTGGATTCCCTGCGATGCGTCTGGATTGCGACACGCAACCTCGATTGAGGCTACAGTTTGCTTTGAAACATACCTATGCCATTTCGCTCACGGGGACCGCATCGGAAGTGGAGAGCTTCGGAGCAGCAGTGTTGGGAGGGAGCAGCTCCGCAGCTCTCCACCAAAGCCGTAAAAGCTTGAAGGAAAGTATGGCAAATTTTTAGCCTTTGGAGTTTCTTTGTATCCGCCCACGCTACTTGCGACGCCTAAGTAGTTTCACGTACAGTATACAAGCTGCACAAAACTCCCAAAAATATTTGCATGAGTTGAGCATTTGAAGACGATCATGCACATTTTTCTACTTACACTCATAACTGATAGCAATGGTTTCGGCGGACCAGCTTGTCATTACTAAACACTCGTGAAGAATATGTTTCCTTTCACATGTGACAAGCTACGTATTGTATCAAAGATCTTGTGTTACCTGCTTGATATTACTGCATAATACACTTTTATATATCTACCGAACATACCAGATCAGTCAAAATCTGTCCTACATACGTGAAATCTTCGCCCGATTTCAGATTTTGAATGCGTGCAATCAATTGATGACTGAAGCTCATGAGATGTCCGACACTCAAGCCGTAAACATGGTGTGTGATCTATTTCGGAAATGTGGGCTAGTGCAGGCGCTTGTTGCTCGACTAACTGGGCCGTTGGATGATCCAACTGAAAACAATGCCGTCAATGGCAGGGAGGTCTCTACCCACCCTAAAATCATTACAGAGGTCCACGAACTTGAAAATCAAGAAAGATCTGCTTTTTCGGGCTTCAGCGAAATACCTGCCTACCAGAACACTATCGATCGTGAGCAGTTTGAGACAGCTGGTTTCAAGATTAGAGAACAAGAGATGAAAATTCGTTCCATCCGCCTGCTACGTCAAGTGAGTGATCTGCATTGTCTTACAAGAACTCATCTTACGAGTATTTTTAGCGTGATTTGCGTCTTAAAAATGGTCTACCAAACTTTTAATTTTGTTTTCTTCTCAACGACACGCGCCGTTTGCTTTTTGTTTGTATTCGAAGAAGCATACATTATTACTAATAGTACCAGCATTTGTTTTACGATATTTTCTCTGGACTAATTACTTTTGTAGGATGACTCTTGAAGGTCGGTCATTCCAATCTACGAAATATCAATAACAAATAACATTTCTAGGAAATAATCTGAATGCATATATTTTGCGTATTCTCGTCAGTTATTCACATGCAATGCTAGGTTTGTGCACGAAGGATGTTCAGTTTAGATTCAAATTCGCTATACATCGAGAGATGGTGCAGCCATGCGTAGTTCACTTGGGACTGTCGTGGCTGATATCTTCATGGACCACCTGGAGAACACTGAGCTACGTCCTCATACGTAAAACGTGTTTTACCATATTCACTACAAGGATGACATTTGTCTTTGTAGACTGTCGAACAAACAGAACACTTACGGTGTGCTCTAAACAACCGCCAACCAGCGAACGAATTCATAGTTGAAAACAAATCCTCCGACGCTTTCCAAATGGTATACTCATTCGATCTGTGTACCGTAACCTACCTGGACAAGACAGTACCTGAATTTAAACAGCTTCTGTTCTCTGAACTACAAACCAGCTCTGGTTTTTACCACCTGCGAGAGCTCGCCAGATAACGTGTGAGCTGGAACGCGTCTGAAGGTGCCGAGTGGTCTGCACGCCTAGCTTGCAGTCAGTAGGTCCGGTTTGAATCCGCGTGTGGGTTGGCGTCCTCGCAGTATTCTCAGCCCGCGCGCGACTGGTGTTGGTCGTGCGGCAGGGAATCGCTGTTACGGCTTACAGCTGACACGCAGCATATCCCTCTACACTACGTGAAAATGAATATCCTGAGGAATTCATAACACGGCGCTCGAACGCGTACGCGGAAAGCCGGAATCAACAGGTGATCGATGTCCCAAGTAAAAATTGCTTCGTGACGCTACCATTCAAAGGAGACAAAAATGACAAGCGATTCCGAGTTCACCATTGTCAATCTATAAAACGTGTTATTACGCTTGTACTTTTGTACTAAGTTAGGAAGTTGCTGTTTAAATTCGACATGGACAATCCAGACTCTCGAATTATCATCTTATGTATTTGCATCTTTTACTGTACTTGCGACGGTAAATACGTCTAACGAACTGAGTGAAGATGGTCTACAAGGAGTTTAGAGCATATTCCACGCAACCTGGTTGCGAATGGTCCGTAGCTACTCGCTGGTTCGATCGCCGGACACATTGATGCCTGTCCCTTGTGTGAAAACCCGCGTGAATTATGTAAAAGTCAACCAGCAGAGAGCCGCCCGCCTGCATCAGTTTGCTGAAGCTTCGACAATTAGGCGACAGAAATCTTCCTTAATGTAAACAGACCGAGCTCGTCGCCAATCTCACCTTGTCTTGATAGGGCTAGTGACCACCTTCCTCTAAGAGGAATGCCAGCCAGCGTCTAATAAAGTATGACCTACATCGATTCACCAATGATTACGCCCGTGTTATCTTTGTATACAACCTCGCCACTCAATGGATTGTATGCAAATGGCTAATGAGGACATGCGGAATGGCTGAATACAAAGTATCCTGTTGAAATGTACTTACTTGTCATCTTGAAATTTGACATGAAATTTCCTCTCAATCGTGAACTTCGCAGTTTAATGCTTGTGCTGTTATCTTGTTTAAGTTTACGCTTAACAGCGTCTTCGACATTCTCGTTCAACTAACGAGCATCATCATCATCAATGCACGTTAGCTGAGGGCGACAAACACACTTCAGCCAATGTGCCGCAATATAAAAAGATGAAAGACTAAAAAATTACAACACAAAGAACTCAAAAAGCAAGTAATATAACGTTAAACATTATATTATGCAGTTGTAATGAGACCGTAATTGGAGGGGAATCTAAAGAAGAGGGGGGTGGACAAAGAAACAACACAAACGCTATTGGGGCCGGCTCCTAGCCATATCAGCTAGTGTATGACACTAAACATGTTCATCGTTCTTAGTACCTTAGCCAGACGGTCGGGAAACACCAACCGACGCCAACTTCGAAGTGAGGGACTTCATTTCTCTCGACCAAGTCATCGCTTGGCCTTCACTCCTTTTCCAACCGCACCCCAGAGCGCAAACTACGCAAGTCGAGGGATGCAGTGTGCTGACATGCGCTACACGTGGCCTCACCATCGGAGCCTGGTGTGCGATTTGATAGTGCTGAACGGTTCACTCGCTCTTCATGCACCAAACACGCGACGCTGGATCCATGCATCGCTTGCGCGGTGCTCCCACCAGACATGAGCTAAGCTGCAAAGTAGCGATGATCGAACGTGACGAGCCGCTTTATGTCCGTCGACTTGATAGGCAAGGTTTCACAACCGTATAAGAGAGTTGAACGGACAGCTGTATTGTAAACTCCGCCCTTCACGACTAGAGTGATGTCGCCGCGGCGCCATAGGTGGCGGAGATTGGCAGAAGTAACGCGAGCTTTTGCTATACGGTTCGTAACCTCATTATTGATCCAAGGGGCGCTAATATAGCTGACTAAGTACTTGAGTTCCTGAACGATTTCTAGCTGATCGCCAACAAGGGTCAGCGCATGGGTGGGTCCCTGCCAATTTTGGAGGACTTTGCATTCCTATGGAGCAAAGCATAGGCCAATACGATTAACAGCCATTGCTAATCGGTCCAGTGCTGCTTGACAGATTTTGGAGCTGTCATACATTAGGGCAATATCGTCCACATACTCGAAGTGAAGAATTCGCTCAGCAGGAAGTAGCTCCACATCATGTAGATAGTGTTCAGCGACCGCTGCATCCATGACTACCTTATAGATGAAAATAAGGAGAAAGGTGGTAGCGAGCAAACTTGTCTCACTGCTGGAGATATTGAAGGGTGGCGGTAGTTTGCCATAAACCCTCACACTGCCCGAACTATGCGCGTACAGCACTAGGATAATGTCTGCGTATTCATCAGGCACACCTTTCCTCAGCAGAGAGTCCCAAAGAGCACATCGATCCACGGAATCGAAGGTACCTTTGACTTCAAGAAACACGACAACGGTTGGTCGTCAGTAATCATGACGGCGTTCCAACACTTGATGCAAAATGGAGATGTGATTGATGCAGCGCCGCGGAGATAATCCGGATGGCTCTCCGCGGATCCGGCTTTCACTAGTGCGTCCGTCTGTGGAGACTGACAAACGCAAGCAATTTAGAGGCAATTCAAATCAAATAAACTTATCTATGATTGCCGCATTCTGATCGGAAGCTTCCCCTGAAAAATGGGTCTATGACGGAGCGGTTCCGGTCGCTCGCGATGGTTTCCTGCAACCAACGTTGCACTAGCAACTCAGGTAAATCATCTATATGAGCACATCCCCCGACTTTGAATAGGGCTGGGGGAATTCTATTTTCCCTCACGGCCTTATGCAATTTCTAAAATCTGATCTCACGTTTGACATGTGCGCGTGAGGGCGGATCCAAGGAGACGGACCAGGGAGACGGGCACTCAATGTCCGAAGAAGAAAGCGATAACTCATATTTGTTAAACCGCCTTGCAGTGTTCGGCCCAACGCTCCAAGCATTTTGACAGGTTTTGAATCGCCTGCCCACTGTCCTCGCGGATTGTCTCGCTAACGCCAGGTCCTCTACTGCCTGTTTTCCGTATCAGACGGAATAACTTACGATGATTGCCAACGGCAGCGACTGTTTCGAAGGCACGATGAGACCACCAGGGTTCGCGGTCTATCTTTAGGCTAGCACGCAGTTTTGCCCTGGGAATTTCGTGAGCCTCTTTGTTTTCGCTTCCAGCCGGAATATTTCGGCGAGCATGGATAACTTGGCAATTGCCTCTGTACCCAGTGTCAATGTTTGGCAATTTGTTTTTTCATGTGAAGATTTGCCGGCTGATAGTAACGTTTGACGAATATGCATCCAGTTATCTTTGACCGTGTTCACTGGGCGCTTACTCGGTCTTGAAATCAACATACTTTGATGCGCATACAAAACACCTGGCTTCGTCAGTTGGCTGATGGTGATCCGCTCACGTCGACATTGCGAACATCTGCCGAAACTCACAGTGAGGTCGACACACACTAGAACGTGATCGGAGTCAACGTTTGTGCTCCAAATCGAGCGTCAGTTTTGGACGCAACCACTGCAGCGGTAATTGATTGCGACGTGATCGATTTGCGTCCATGGCTGGTGCGAGGCTGTTGGGCGCCCATTCACTCGTCGAAAAGTTATTGCTTGCGAGAAAGAGACGTGCATCTTCACACATGTGTACTACTCTCCTCCCGTTTTCATTACAGGAGCCCAGATGAAGCTCATCAGAGGACAATTTCCCGACTTGGGCCTTTAGATCACCAGCCAACACCACAGTATCCGTGCTTCTTTTGTAACGAGGGAGATCGTCAAGTTGGTCATAGAAATCATCTTTCACTGAATCAGTGCTACAGTTTGTAGGGGCGTAGGCCGTAATGATAAGCAAGCACCGTTTGTTCCCGCGTGACTCAGAAGCATGGAACGAACCAGCTAATCTAACGGCGCACATCCGAGTGTTGACTGGGATCCAACCAATCTGAGCATCTTCAGCCCGGGGACTCAAAACAATGCCGACACCAGCTTGACCGTCATTTGAAGCTGCATCATCGCCAGACAGGCTCAATGAGAATGTGTCGCCAGTGTCGCATCTGGGGGATCGCAGGGTAAGCACGGAGCTCGAGTCTTGTAGGAGAGTTTCTGAAAAAAATAAATATCGATCGATATGGTCTCTAGTATGCGGGCAAGTGCTGCCTGTTGGCCATTCTGTTGCAAATTTTACACGTTGAGGCATGCCAGTCTTAGTGAAGACCGAGAACTCCAAAGGGAAACGGATGAGCTGACGTTGTCCGCTCG